AGAAGAAAATAATATTCTCTCTATCCATTTACATATAGAGTACCTAAACTATGGTATCCAGACATGAATATGGTAGGATTCTATAACTACTAAATCAAAAGAGGAGTCAGTTAAAATACATCGACTTGCTAGCCTCACACTGTCCTAAATGTCCTGTGTTCTCTTTTTCCTAATGCAATAAGACACTACAGGCACCACATTTCTGGGGATTACCTTTCTAGGGGATGAAGCCTGTGGCCTCATTCTTCACATCTCAGTCAAAGTGTTCATAGGCCCCCAGAAACACACTGCCTGTCATGTCTTGTTGTTTAAATATTATGATAGAACCTATGAATAACCAAAAACTGTGTTGACGTGTTCATAATAGCTTTTGTTCTACATCTGTACCGATACATTGCCTTTTCTAAAAATTCAGCATAGCTTGCTTTTTACTTTGTGGTTACATTTAATACTTTGATGAGAAGTACTAGAGCAGGGAATTAACTTCTCCACCAAGAAATCAAATCAAGCTTGAAATCAGTAGCTTTAAATTTTTGGCAATGATGTTTTGTAAAGTGAAAAGGTCCTTCTTCATGACAAGCAATATTTATTAGACCTTTATCAGCAACTTCAATGAAAGTTGGTTGGAAGTATTCAGCTGAATCACTGGTATCCGGCAGAGTGACACTTTCATGTGGGGCTTTTTCAGTTGTTCTTTGTGCAACAAAGTTTGTGCTAACACCAGATGCCAATCGCACACCACCAGTGGATTTGCAAGATTATAGGACAGGAAAAAAGATGAAGGTTAAATACAGGGCACAATAGAGATTACTTATGGTAATGAATTGTATAATTTTTCTAGACAGATCTGGATTAATGTTTATCCCAGGCAAGAGATTACTATATGTCTGATTCTGGTTGTAAACACATATTATTAAACAGAAGGTTTATGTTCATGAAATACAACTATGAGTGTTAACGCACTTATGATTTATTATGTGCAAAGAGAAAAATTAACCTGTTCATCTGCTATACCAATAGATACACTATTGGCTTTTGCATAAATTGGAGATGAATTATAGGCATCTGCTGTCTTTTAGAAAACAAATAACTCCTGAAATGGCAAAATTCTTCTCTCAGTTATAGCCAGACTACCCTGTAGACTTTGATGAAGTTACACCAGTGTAACTAAAAAAAGAATAGCCTTAAATATTTTTATATGGGGAAAAAATAGCTTTTGTACTGCAGATATCTACTGGCAATATATAATAATGATACTTGCGAACTTTGGGATCTTTTTTCTTTTTCAGTGAAAAAACAGTATGTTTACATCCACAAAATATAATGAACGGTGTCCCAAATTTGATTTCCCAAATTATTCAGTTATATTAACCGCCAAAAAAAAAAGTATTTTGAGGACTTGGCACTTTCAATTTTTAAAAAATTAATTTGTATTTTTATTGATATTTAGCTGTACTTCATATCATTTGCTTTTCAAGTCCACTGTCGTCCTCTGTTTTAGAGACTCTCTGCTGGTGACCATGACTGTGACATAGGTGTGATCTTCATATTTTTAAAATAATATGTTGTCTTAGTAGTTAAATAATCACAGCTCATTCAGTGATTTGATTTTTGGGTGACCAAAGGGGAAAAAACTCTTAAAAGACAATCAACAAATTCCAAAACTTTGCTCCTTGCATTGAATAGATGCAATAAAAATCTTGTAACCTGGTAATGGGGAACAGTGTTGGCTTTCAGATGATAAAAAATGCAGTTTTTATAATCTGTGTTTGCTATTTACAAACAGTATATGATAGCTAAATGCCTTTGCATAATGCTGTTTTAAATTTCCTCTCCATTTAATAATTGTTGATAGTACTGATAGCATGGTTTTCACTGCCCATCTTAACTAGTCTGTCGAATTATAGGTTACAAGAGAAATGTGAAAAGGAGTACTTGTGGCACCTTAGAGACTAACCAATTTATTTGAGCATGAGCTTTCGTGAGTTAGTCTCTAAGGTGCCACAAGTACTCCTTTTCTTTTTGCGAATACAGACTAACACGGCTGTTCCTCTGAAAAGAGAAATGTGTTTCTGATGTTTTATTTTTTAAACCCCACTTTCATATATGAGAAACTTGACTTGCCTGATTAGTGTCATTGACTTCAGTGAGACTACTCAGGTGAGTAAAGTTACCCAAGGACACAAGCAGAATGAAAGCTGTAATAGGACTGTTGAAAAGGCCTGAGAATACTATAAATTACAAATTATGTTGACTGAATTAAACCATTATAACAGTTAGGCTAGATCTGACTTGCCTTGTGCACTGTAACACAGAAATCACATCAATGCGAGTAAGTAGCTCTGATATCTTGAATACAAACTTGGTTTTACTGATAAACTGCAAACTAAACAGTTCAGATTTGAATTTTTTGTTTTGTTTTTTTAAAAAGTCAGAGCAATATTTTTATTCTCTCAATGCTAAGAAGAAAATGCTTTAAAAACATTTTTATTTCTTATATACGTATATTAACAGCCCATTTGGGACAACCTAACTTTGGCTTTTGTAATATTTTGTAAAGGCTGCAAAAAGTGAATTATGAATTAGGAGTTGAAAGAAATAATTAAACAAATATTAAGTGTTTCTAGAGGCTTGTATTATGGCTCTTTCAAATAGTTTAAAACCAACCTATCATTTCTAGTCAATATGTACTGTCAGATATATACCTGAAATCTTTATTACAGATGAGAATGGCTTAGGAAGCCCAAATCAGGTGTATTATACTGCTTAAAAGTTTGTGCAGCGAAGCATTATATTTTGGGAGCTTATAAAATATATATATATATAGTGTTCTCTATTCCCTTTGCTATATGTCAGCAGACATCTATAAGTCATTAAGGTGACCTCCATCTTCCTAAGAGAAGTAAAGGTAAAAATGAAGACACATTTCTGTTATCAGTCTACTATGGGTCATAAGTTGAACTAACGTTATATTTTCCTTTGAAATACGCATAGCCTTGACATGGTGTTTAACAGTGTTAAGCTTATTGCTGCTGAGCTAAACATGTCTGAAGCAAACGATGACCCTCACGTCTTTGTGATAGCAAAATGTCTCCCTGATGTGATCCCACAGACTTGGAGCATTAAGTTAATTTTCCCCTGGATTTCTGAGCAGCATCTTTTTTACCCCGCGGAAACCTTGTGAGGAATACAGCTTTTGACCGAATGACAGAGCATGGAGGGTGAAATTAGATGCATTAAATTAAAATATGACAAAAAGCCTATCTAAATATTTGTCACAATGTTACTTGTGCGGTGTAGTGTCCACCCCAGGAAGTGAAAGCAGGCTATTGCTGGGACTTAATAGCCTGGAAAAAAAAATTGGTAAACCATCCAGATTCCTTACAAGCTTTGAGAGGATAATTGAGGGTATGGTGTAAGATGTCATAGTTCCAGGTTTGGTGAGCCCTCTGTCTAATCTCAGATTAGTTCTTTTCCTGTTTTCATTTTAAATAGAATTAACCATTACAAAGTTTTCTTTGGTCCATGGCCATTTTTGTGCCACTTGAACAAATAATGCTGGTACTGGCCACTAGAGGTTGTATGATACGTTTGTTGGTTAAGTAAAGTATAAAAGAGAAATACCCCGTGCGTGCGCACACCAAAAAAGTCATAATATCCGATGCATATTTTTAGGCTACAAAAAATATTTTCCAATTGTAGTACAGCACTTGTGAAAGGAAAAAAATATTATCCCAAGCTATTATATATAATTATTAGAAAAATGAGTGTGTTCAGTTAGTATAAAATGTAGGAAGAGATCAAGTCATATGGCTTATTTCATTCATATGCATTCATCAAAACGAGGTTTTAATTTTTTTAAAGAGCTAAATATTGATACGGCACAAGTATGTGGTTTTTTTTAATTTCTGTTGTAACAGTTTATGGAAAAATAGGAGACTATGATTGGGTTAACCCCGCTACACAAAAATCCATGCTGTGTATGACAGTAGTAAAGCTTGTGATCCCTTGATCTTTGATGAGATTCAAGCTAGTAAATATCTTGTGATTAATCAGAATGAGTTGTTCTGAATGTAGTATAAGTCACCTTCACAGATGGGTTGTAGAATCAGTTGTTCGTGAATATTTGTTTTAATCCTTTCTAAAACAGACTTGCTTTTTGTGCTCAAGTCATATTCAGGCAACTAAATATCAGTACTAAGGGAGGAAACATGCTGTTATGAATAGGATGGTAGGTCAGCATTAAAAAAGGAAAAAAATAATAACTTAAAATGTCACTCTACTATTGTTAAAATATAAGCGATACGCAGTGTATGCTTCTCATAAGTTGGCATATATAATTATATGGAAAAGCAGTTATAAACCATTCACATAAATGTCTATCTTACAGGTAGAAGAAGAACGGTAGAGAGACACATACTAAAAACTGTGTTAAGAATTTGGTCATTATTATTCTGATTTTTTAAAATGCTTAGTTAGAATTATAGCATTTTGGGGTATAGGTAGAGTGTAAAAAATATATACGGCTACCCTTTTCTATGGTCTGTCTGCCTCCTAATTACTTAAATCCATCATAATTGCCTTCTGATATAGTTTACATTGACATGCAAAATACTGTGTGAGAGAGCTTTTGCTATGACACTTTCATTACCACATATCTAAGGATTTTCTATAGAATGTAGATTTCCATAGATCATATATAACGTTATGAGATTGATAGGAAGACATTGTGCTGTGTAGTAAAAGCACCTCAATTTCTGTCTTATTTCTCATAATCGCTACAGTAAGCCTTTTGTGCACAGAGGTGTGATTAGATTTAACCTGCCAACATATATGAAGAACTTTCTCTACAGTACATTTTATATTGAGAGTGTGTGTGTGTGTGTGTGTGTATATATATATATATATATATATATATATATATATAGTGCATGTAATCAAGTGTATATGAGTTGCTATCATGCCAAAGTTAATACCCTTTTCTCTAATGTTTTTAACAGGAGGACCGGAGAACCCCCATTAATAAATGGTTGGATTCCTTTCATTGGGAAGGCCTTAACTTTTAGGAAAGATGTTTTCAAATTCTTGGTATCTCAGCAACGAAAATTCGGAGACGTTTTCACTGTATACGTTGTTGGTGAGAAGCATTTTACTATTTCTCTTGACTTTTGTGTCAATTAAATTAATTATTAACATTTTTATATTTTATTTATTGAAAAGCCTTTATCTGTACTTATTACAGTTCTAAGTTTTAGAGCCATATGACCAATGAAAATTACTTTGGAAATGAAATGTTTTAATGTATATTATATATAATCACAACTATAATTGTGTGTGTGTATACATACACACACACACAGTGAGTTAGTATATGCACACATGTTATGCCAGCACATATAATACAGGTAGATAGAATATTTACTATAGATTGTGTTTTCTATAGAAGTGAGAACTAATGTAATCTTAACACTGCATAGGAAAACATTAGATCAAATTTAGAAAACACTCATAAAAAATTGTACAGAATATATTTTTTACCCACTTCTACATCTGGGTTGACATGAGCACTAGGAAGTGAGTGATACATTGACTCATTGATACAATCAGGATTAGAACATGGAAATTTCCTGCCTAACCATACGTCCTGACAATAGCATAATAATAGAGTCTGAGATAATGATCTGAAATACAGTAACTTCAGCACTTTATATTTTCTTAATTTTATGCCTAATCTTGCACTGGTTTACATTCAAAAAAATCACCTTGATTTCATTTGTAAACTTTGGGGTATAGGAATGTAGGATGGCCCCTAATGCTTTCTTTGTATCTTTTAAAATGTGTTGGTAGATAGACTCAGTTATTTAATGGGTCTTTTTCTTCTCTAACTTTTGTGATCCTAGTTCAAATTAACAGTTTTACAGTAGCATGAATTAACACTGGTATAGTGGAGGCACTCTCATTTTTTCTACCATTCCCATATTTTTAGGGAGTTTCAGAACAAAATGACAGGTTTCAGAGGAACAGCCGTGTTAGTCTGTATTCACAAAAAGAAAAGGAGTACTTGTGGCACCTTAGAGACTAACCAATTTATTTGAGCATGAGCTTTCGTGAGCTACAGCTCACTTCACACGAAAGCTCATGCTCAAATAAATTGGTTCGTCTCTAAGGTGCCACAAGTACTCCTTTTCTTTTTCAGAACAAAATGTGAACTTAATGAAGTCTGCTCTATAATGTCCCAGCAGCAGGGAAAGGTTTTATTTTTAGATATTTAAATTTTTAAATAAAAAACCAAACCATTTTTCAACCAGTTTCAAGTTATCAGTTTACAAACAGGATGCTCATCTTTGAAACTCTTTCTCCGTGTAACCAAAAATTGCTTAATTTTTAGATGTGCAATTTTACAAGCTGCAAGTTTTGTTATCTTAATTCATTCCTTTGCTGTTTTGAAACTTAAAAGAAGTTCTTTCATTTATAAAGTGACTACAGCACATGCACAGAAACTACTTTTGGTAAAATACAGTCTTTACTATTGTTCATATACTTTCATAGTCTATAAAATATTGGCTCCTTCTGAATGCAAATTAATAATAACTCAAAGCAAGACAGCCCTAATGAATATACTAATAAAATTGGGTAGAGTTACACTTCAGAACTTGTGTGTCAATGGAACATTTCTTTCTCTCTCCCTTTTTCATATTTTAATATAAGAAAAGGGTTAGTGATTTAATTTGTTAAAGTAATTTGTGACTGAGATTTAAATTAACAAATCCCATCTCAGTGTGATGGTAAAAATTCTGCCTTTAATCCATTTTCTCATCCCTAGATATTGTACAGAGGGATTCATTGATTAATGCAATATGTGCTTAAAATAGTGAAGCAAATAGAGTGAGTTACACAACTAAATTTGTCCTTACTTTGGAATATCCCAAGTTTTGTGAATTTATGTTACATCCGTGATATTACTTTAACGTCACTTTCTATAATTCTGTATTGAAAACATTGAATTCTGAGAGTTCACTAAAGAAAAATAGTAGCAAACCCTCTTGTTTGTTTTTGCTTTGTTTCGTCTGGTTTGGTTCTTTTATTTAAAGCTTAGTTAGTACTTCATATCATAACCTTAGATACCAAGACACACTGGATTTCATGATGTTTTAGTGATTTGACAAAGATGATGTTTGTGTGTGCAGCAAACAGAACTTCCCCTGTTTTATATGTACTATCATTACTTTACCCCCTTGGTGGGTGAATAAAGGTCTTGTCAAAAAATTCTATCAATATATATTGTTCTAATTATCAATTCTCAAAGTAGTTCATTTGGAAAATGTGGAACGATGCTTGGAGTTTCTGGCATTGCCCCGTACCGGTAATGCGATTTCACTGATTGTACTTTCCCATGTGATGAGCAAATGATTGTCATTCCGAAAAGTCGCAAGGGACATGGATGTCATCTTAATAAAGAAATTAAAAAGCACATCTTTCTCTGAGAAACAATGTAAATTCCTGACCTGTCGCAGAAAATAGTTCTCTAATTGGTTTTGTGTGGTGGTGCAGCAGAATCGTTTTCCCCAAACGTCATACCGGCGAAGCACTACTGTACATCATTGTCAACAGTTCAGCAAAATCTTCCTAATAAGAGGACGATTACGTAAATGTGATAGTCTTTTTTTTTAAAAGAAGAGTTGTTTCTATATGATAGTACTTCTAAACCCAACCGTTTTACTTGATAAGGATCAAGAACAAATAGACAGCCAGCTAGGTAAAAACTTGAAGACCCTTGAAAAGTCTTTCAGTTGTTTTTCATGATAAGACTTTTTGTTTACTTTTACTGATATGTGATTAGGAACCATACTGGATGTTGTAGTAGTATATTTTTGACTAACCAATCTCAATTTTAAAGAAGATAATCTACATCTTATAGATATTATACTAAGTACGTTTAGCTTCTTCAAAAGCGCTCCTAGTACATTTTAAAAAGTTTATATACATATATACCATTAAAAACTTTTCAATCCAAAAATAGAAGAAAAGTAATTATCTTACCTATTTAAGCACTGAAGTCCGTTGCAAACATTATTTTAATAACTTACATCATTATTTATCATATAAAGTGCTTGTTATTCATAATTAGCATTAAAAAGGGCCCAGAGTGCATTATTATAATAATTTCTTAACTATCATACAAATACTGATTTATGTGCTAGGATTCACCAACAGTTGACAATTTTCATATCTTCTACATCAGTCTTTTGTTCTGAGGAGACTATGTAAGCTGAACGGAGATATCTTAGACATTCTCAGTAGTGGCTGTAATAAAAGCTGAAGGATTGGGAAGAGAATAACAGACATGTCCACAGACGGATAAGGAATCTGAAGGCTTTTACAGGAACAAGTTAAATATTCAGCTATTTTTACTTGTTTTTATGCTATTAAATAGAAGAGTTTACTCAGTTTACTAAGCTAGGAGGAATTTGCGCATAACTTTCCTGTACAGACACGTCTTCTCAAATGGTTGTGAAAAAGGATTTTAGTGTCCACAGACATTGCTGAACAGCTACAAAGGACTTTTAAATTGTTACAGTGGATTCTGTATAAATGGATTTAATATTTAAGGCCACTACTTTGGAGAGCTTGTGGTCTGTTATCCTGCACTTTTTAGCAGATTTGGGAATTGGCTCCTACAGCTAGTCAGATGGAAGCTGTGGTGAGCACCAAAATTTTGGTTTCTTTATTGATGGCATGGGTTCACTTGTGAGAGGTAGCTCCTGAGGGTAACTGAAGTGGGAGGGCATTTGGGGGCCTATTAAAGTGCTGAATAATGACTCAAAAATGTAGGAAGACCTGCATTTGTTAGTGCCTGTTACAACCAGTATGTGGACACTACTCTGTAGAAGGGAAAACAGAGCCCAATGTGGGAAATAAAATGATTTAATTTTTTTATAAAAAAAGAGAGCGAGAGATGCTTAATTAGCCCATGCAAAAAAAAAAGTTTATAATCCTAATATTATTTACAACTTAGTTGAAATCAGTGAAGTTTGTTGATTGGTTTTGGATCCCAAAATGCTGCTGAGGGGTTCTATGTAGATAGAGGAGATATTTTTACATTATTATACCAGATAATTGACAATATGTTACAGACACAAAGTGGGTGAGGTAATATCTTTTTACAGAAGTTGGTCCAGTTTAAGATATTACTTCACCCACTTTGTGTCTCGAATATCCTGGGACCAACACAGCCACAACACTGTACACAAATATGAATACACTGTTAAACAGGTATAGCTATGTAGTTCTTCTATTTGCAAGTAGGACAGAAATCACTAAAGGTTCCAGTTGCTAGTAACACTTCAACCGTTTTATAACCGCAACTAGTGACCTATAGGTTTTGGTCTTTATTGGAGGTACCTTAACAATTTGCACATTTTTTTTAAAAAAAACAGCAATTTTTGCCTTCTCTATGTATGGGTTAAACATCCCTCATTAGAATTTTGTAAATACGGTAACAGAGTTCTTGTGTCATATATTTCTATACTTTGTTGACTTTTTGGCAGCGACGTGGCCTGGAAGCTGAATTTGACTTCTCAAAAAATGAATTATATTTTGGCACTTTTTTATCAGCTGGAAAATAAGACTAATAGAAATGTTCATCTGTGGCACACCCTTAATCATAGATAATTCTGAGTGAAGTCTTTTCTTTCTAAAAGTTTGTAATTACACTAACATTGAATAAACATTGTTTTAAGATTATTTATTAAAATGATGTTGTTTACTTGAAGAATCATTTGCTTAGAATCATGTTGCTTATTTTAAAAAAAATATCAGAATTGATGTGCATTTGTTAAATGTCTGATTAAAGATCACAAAGAAACTTGTATTTTGCATGTGATATAAGCAGATGGTGCACAGATGGTTTAAATTAATATTAATTAAAAAATCTTAACTTAAAATTGTTTACCCTGTAAACTCAAAGTTGGAAAGCTAGCTACCTTCTTTAGGGTTAATAGCGCTCCAGTATACTTATTAAAAATCACACCAAAGGTTTTTATTTCCAGCCCTTGATCAGAAAGATGGTGGCCTCAGTAAAGGGCCTTGAAGAGAAAAGGTATAAGAGCTGGAGTGGGGAGAGTGCTGAAGGTTGGCAACACTCAGATCTCCAACAAAGATCTTGGGTATCCTGGAGTTACAAGGTTAAAGAAGCGCTTATTCTGAGTTTGAAAATACATTCACGTCCTGCAGTCTAGTAAGGGAGACCTCTTATCTAGTGACTTGAGCACGGTCAGGAAACCTCATTTCTGCTCCTGACACTGCCACTAGCCTGCCATGATTATTTTTAGAAAAAGAAAGGTAGTAACTCTAAGACCCCAATGCCGCATTGTTTAATTAGTGAATTACATTATAGTAAAACAAACAAAGAGTAACTTAAAAACACTCAAAAGTGTTTCTTTGACAAAGACCTTGGATGGAATTCTGCGTTGATATGTGTTTTGTGCAACCCCATTGATTTCAACAGGAATGTAGAAATCCAATATGTACTCATAATTACCACACCATGGTATATGTATCCACAGTCAGAACAGGAAATAACTATGGAATCTCACATACCACTATATGTTACCGAGGGGTAATTGCTGACTTTTCAATAGTGGCTACTTTATGTACGCAGAGCCAAATTCTGTCCTCAGTTACACATGTGCAGCTCCCATTAAAGTCAAAAGGAGTTTTACCCATTCAGCAGGGCAGAATTAGGCCTCAAATCTTGGAAGGATTGTTCCTTTTCTTCTTTTATAGTGTGGATATTTCACTGAATATATGTACATTATAATGAGTACCTTTTTTTTCTAATGTATGCACAAGTTAAGACTCACAAACCTTTACTGTAAATTTAAACTTAGCATGGGCCCAGCTATAGTAAATTCAGAATTAATTTATTTTGGGGGCATTATTTCTTTTGATACCTGACAAATGACCAGCAGTTTGAATTACTCTTCACTAGTAATTGACCTTGGGGGAAAGAAGCTACAAAATTAACCCTAAAACCATCTCACACAGAAAAATAAATGGAATATTTTTAAAGGAAGTAAAAATGATGTGAATTCTCTCTCTAATGTTGCTATCAATTCAGCACTATCTCTTTTGATTATGAATGTAAGAAAGTGTGATACAGTATGTTGTTAGTGCATTCTGATACGATAATAATGGGTTCTCTTTCTTTGGGATTAGTTTAAAATCAAGATAGGATAGCATACTCTCCAAAATACTTTTCCATTGTTTTAAAACGATGGTATATTGCACAGCAAACTATTTTTTAAAATAAACCACAAGGTTATAATTTGTTGATACTATAATAAAGCTGCATCATCCTGTTAAATTTTAAAAAGTCAGGAAAACATGAAGAAGAAAACAAGACTGAAAAAGTATTTTACTTGTCATGTTTTCTTTGGGCAATGGGAAACCTCACGGGCCCTGATCCTACAGTGGACCTTCATGTAGATGGTCCCCTGTGCTCATTCATGGTAACCCCCATTGATTTCAGTGGGCTTTATAGAATCATAGAAATGTAGGTTATCTAGTTCAGAAGCCATCTAGTTCAGCCCGCTACACTGAGGCAGGACCAAGTGTATGCTGGAAGGTGTGCAGCGCTCATTGTAAAATTGTAGCCTTGGTTGTTAGGACTAACCTGGTCCACCTAATTTAATCTCTTCTGCTTGAAGAAAAGCAGCATGCTGATATGTTAGCATATTTTCCACTTCACCCCCCTCAAGCTATTGATATATTGCCCTTTCAGATGGAACTATTTGTTCACTTTTTGCCATTAAAAGATATCTAAAGATGTATAGTTTTCAAAATGCTTTTGAAAAGCATAATAAAGCTATATTGTATTTTTCATGAGTTATGCCAATTTAGTAAATGATTCAGATGACTGCAAAGTACCATGATTATGTCGCCCTCTACTGTTCAAACAATAGTTCGTTCTACGCTTGACCTCCCTCATTTTAGTCTACTACAAAAATAAAGTCTCTGACTTTTTAAAAAAACAATTGTAATCTCTCTCTCTCTCTCTCTCTCTCTCTCTCTTTTTTACAAGTAACCTTTGAGGCTTTCTATGTGCTTATCACTTGAAACACTGGGGGGAATGGCTTAAATTAACATTGAATATTAGTAGTAGTAGTAGGATCACAAAAGTACTTATCTGTATATGTGGTTCTTTTTCTTCTGTTCAGGTAGATATATTACCTTTATCATGGACCCATTCCAGTATGTTTATGTGATCAGAAATAGCAAGCAACTTGAATTTTATGAATTTGCTGATAAAATGGCATCAAGAACTTTTGGCTATCCCTCTTTGTCAAATTTCCCAAAACTAAACGAAAATCTGCATCGAATGTACCAATACCTGCAAGGCAAGCCTTTGGACATAATTTCTGACCACATGATGAAAAATCTCCAGCATATATTTGAATGGAAATGCTCACAAGCAACAGATTGGGAAACAGAAAAAATGTACAAGTTCTGCAGCTTTCTAATGTTTGAAGCCAGTTTTATAACACTATATGGAAGAGATCCTGCTGCAGATGGCCACAATGTTATTAGTGAAATCAGAGACAAATTTACCAAGTTTGATGCCAACTTTCCCTATTTAGTTGCAAACATACCAATTGAGTTGCTAGGAGTTACCAAGAAGGTTCGGCAGGAGCTTATACATCATTTTTTACTTCGGAACATGGCAAAATGGATGGGAGGGTCAGAAGTGATCCAAGCCAGAAAAGATGTATTCGAGAAATATGAGCTGCTCCAAGATTATGACAAAGCAGGTAGGAAACTTATGAATGATTGCTTGTCTAAAATAAAATAATTTACTATAGACCTTTCAAATAAAAAGGCAAAATGGCGACCTTGAAATTTTTTATGTTCTTTCTAATTGGCTAATGATAAAATATTTTACTCTGAAACAACCATCTATGATAATTGATTTTTTTTTTTTTTGGCTGAGGTGGTAAAACAAGATACTTAATGGTGATAATGAGAGAGATTATAACTGAGCTGCATTTACTTCCCTTCTCTTCTCCCCCCACCCCCATTACATTTTAAACTATTCTCATTAAGCAGAAAATTAGACTTCAGAAGCCTATTGGTCCTCATTAGCATTCACTGATCCTTGGCTGGGTCTGTGTCCTAACATCTTTTAATTAGCACACTGCAAATCTAATCAGTGTAATAAACGCTATTAATCTTCCTTTTCACTTATTTTCTCCCAGCACATCATCTTGCCTTCCTGTGGGCCTCTGTGGGAAACACGATTCCAGCTACATTCTGGGCCATGTATTATCTTCTGTGGCACCCAGAAGCTCTTGCAGTGGTGCGTGACGAAATTGACCATTTGCTGCAGTCAACGGGTCAAAAGAAAGGGCCTGGATATTGCATCCACCTCACCAGAGAACAACTGGACAGCCTGGTCTACCTAGGTAATTTATTTTTATCTGTTGTGAAGAAAAGAGGGTATCTTTCTGCAAACTCACTTTATCACTCATTTCTGTTTACTGAGAAGGTGGAGGACACAGCTGCTTAATTGACATAATAACACCCATTTACATCAATTATAAATTATGTAGTTTATAGCTGTAGATACTCTCATTGCATGTAAACATTAAAGCCTAGGTAATTAACTATGCAAAGTATGCAAAAGGCTAAATCGAAGCTTTGCAATTATTTGAAAAAAGTTTATTTGCCTATTAAGTTGTTTGATTCTGAGCATCTGCCGAAGTGCTAATGCATTTCGGATACTTCTGTAGTGTTTTGCCAAGAAAGGCCCTTTCCTGAACTGAATAAAAATAGTTAGGAAAATCAATTTGTGCTCAAAATGTAGTTTACTATTTCCAAAACCAGATTTATCTTTAGATATTTAAAAAAGCTTGTTTTGTTTTGTGGCTGCCTCAGATGTGTGACTCCTAACCAAACACAAGCAGACACATCTTTGCAAATGAGAACCAATATTTTTAGTAATAAAAATGAATAAAACCTTGAAACAATATGGAGAGTCTTAAGGGATAGGTAAGAAATTAGTGTCTTCTAGGTCACTGATTCAAATGTGAACCATGTTAGTAGACATAGAAGGTTGTTTCCACCCAGTGACTGGACTGGCCTTTGTAATGAGTTGATGGTCTCTGTTCATTTCCTAATGCACAAACACCTACATCACAAAAGCTAATGGGTTTGACTTTCAAAGGGACAAATGGCAGTCAGGCACCTAACTCTTAGGCCACTGAAAATGTCTACCATATCCTTTGACACAATGCTCCATTGTCACCAATTGGTTATAGCATGGACAACCACTGAAGGAGAACATAGAGACTGAAGTTTCATTGAAGTTAATGGAACCACTTCTGTGCTTGAAATTGAGCATGTGCTTAACTGCCCTACTGGATCAGGGCCTGAATTGCTTTTCCACCCCTTGAAGAGATCCCTTCAGGTTAGTGTTGAGACACAATAGGCAGAACAAGATGGGAAGAGTTTTCATTCTTTGCCCACACTGTACTTGTTTTGCAAATAATAGAAGCCTCTATTCTCCAGGACTGTCTTATCTGGCAAGTGTCACAAACCTTACATTCACTACTTAAAACTGAGTTGATTATCATAGAACAAATGTAAAACTGAGTTTGTTTTTTCCCCACCTTTTTGGTACAGACTGATACTCTCATCATACTGTATATCAACTTAGAAAGTTGGCTTCATTATAGAGTCGCTGAAGTCTCGTGATGAAGATTTACTTTTATAAATTGATAAAGAACATTTGAATGTCCATGGAGCACATGACTTTTCCAAGCATGTAATGTATGTTGTTTGGGAACATGAGTAGAGCTACTTCATACCAAGGTTAATAGGTGCATGGAAAAAGTTACCAGGGAAAGAAGGAGAAATTTTAAATGAGGTCAAAAGACAACTTATTGTGTGTTTGGAAGAGGAAACTGGGTTATATGGTGAAAAAACAGGAAGACTGGATGAAGGAAAAGGAAAAGCATGTTGGGCCAGACAGGCTTATCCTGAATTTAAAATGTATGTCCTAATTGTATGGTTAGCTTTTTAGAAATTAAACAGTTTCATAAAATAACTGTTTCATCATTTGCACCCAGTGCCATTAAGTATCAAACCAATTTAAGTACCTCACTAAAACCATTTGATGCAAAATGTCTGAAGAACAGTTCAAAAACATTAAATATATCATCCAAACTGATGTTCCTTGAAACCTTATGGTACCTTAGTACCAGTCAATTTATATGTTTGGGTGGAAGTGAGGGCATCAGATTCCAACTCGGTCATTTTTGTAACAAGTTTGATAAATTTTCTGATCAGATGAAGCTGAATGTCCTATGAACAGAAGCCAGCTTTCAGTTCTTCTTTCACTTTAGTCATAAAAGAACAGATACAGTCCCACAAAACAACAATAAAAAAAGAGAAAAATCCACATACAGCTAGGTGCATTAAATAAATGCTTTAATGAAAAGTGACTCTAGGCTAATAATACATATGGGAGGAATGGGGGGCTGATCCAGTATTGCTTGCACACCCAAAATTCCCAGCTGCTACACTGACAGTTTTGAGTACATAAATAAAGCAGGATCAAGCCCCATCTGTACATTTAGAGCATTCTAACCATAGCATCTGAGAACAAGCTTTTCCCTTTTCATCTCACCCTTTAACCCAGTGCATACAGAATTGGGAATTCATCCCTCTGTTCCAACATGAGTAAGAGAGACCAGGTGGGATTCTTGTATGTGTATCACCTTGTCATCTTGCGCTTGTTATTCTTTTCCTGTTCTAAATGTTCTGATTCCTGCACCCGTTTTGTCTTACTGTAGCTATAAGGATCTTTGATTCCTCATAGTCTGGAGAAGAATTGTCAAGGTCTGTTAAAAGAAATATCATCTTTGTTGTGGTCAAATTTTCTTGTCTAGGGAACAGTATGGCTTGACTGACTGCTGAATCCATCATTAGATGTCTATAAAAACTAAGACCTGTCTCCAAATCAAAAGCCTTCCCCCCCCAGGTATTTCTGGAACAGCACAATTTCCTTTTTGTCCTGACTTCTCCAGGAACCAGAATGTGCTTATTTGTATGTGCAGGGTAATTATGTCATTATGACTCACAATGGAGCTCTAATATAGTAAACAATACACAGTAATGGTATTTAGTACACATTTTGTTCCAGCTATGTTTTCCTTATTTAGTTTATTTTATAATTTTTACATTAATTCACATTGTGAAGTATTCTTGCCCCAGGACATTGCTGAATTCCAGATATTTGTTTCTAAAAGACAACTGCTTGAAAAATAATTGTATGTATATGAAAAGGTAGAAAAATTTAAAGTAGCTTAATACAGAGCCATGGCTGCAATGCAAGTGTTAAGCATGAAAAAAAGAGATTTGAAAAAATAAATATATTCCCTAGCATGTGCTGGTCAGTACTGCTCAGTTCTTAGTAAGCCACAGATATACTTGTTTCAGACATTATCATTTATGTTGGCACACTGTATTGCATGATGTAAATTATCACCAAAAATATTTGCATACTCAATAGCTATTTTTCTATAATACACTCTAATAATTATAGTGCCCTATTACTTGCTAACTGTTAGTATAAAATTAACAATCCATTATGCACAATAAGTTTTATAAAACATTTACAGATAGAGATCATGTTTAATTAAAATTAACTTGCATATGAAAGCCAAATGCACTAATGATTCGCAATGACCTTTTATTACCTGCAGTCCCTTGTTTTGGCTGGATGATTGACAGCTTGCTGTTTGGCTACCATGTTGTATTTCAGCTGACAAGACTTTTCATTTTAACTCAATTTGCCTGCCTATCACAAGCTGGTGGCAGGCCAGGCTCAAGTCACCCAGCTTTGCCTCAGCAGCTTGCTCTATTTCTCATTAGTACGCATTTATTCAGTGGAAATTGGAAGACAAATGCTTGAAGGCATGTGAACTAAGTATAGCAAATTAGGTTTAAAGACTGAATATTTATAAGTATATTGAAACAGTTTTTTTTAAAAAAAATCTAGAATGAATTGAGAGCTGAGTGCTAGCTTTGGTATAAGAGAAATGAAGACAGAAGTGGGAGGGTTCTAAGAATAACAATACTATGAGATGTCTCTCTCTTTATAGAAAATATGTAAAATTGCTCTGACAACACCTTATCAACTAACAGCCTGGCTTCCCCTTTATGTAGCACTTGTACAATGAAGTTTAGCATCTCATGTGTATAAGAAGGGGAAAAAATGAGGGTCATGTTCATTTGCTGCTTGGTTATCCCTTGGTATGCTTTAAATTGCCTTGTTTGTTCAGCACCAGCACAGAAACAGATGTTGCTCTACCGTGCTGGATAATTTACTGTACCTCATGGTGCAAAATGGAAGGCCTCCCAAGCTACCCAGCTGGTCTGTCAGTAGCACTGGCTGGTGTCTGCTGAACTATGACAACTGCAAGTAAAGGCTGCAGTTTTATTGTGCAGTTGTCATTCTTCTCAATGTATAGCTCCGGCATTCATACGGGATTGTGGAAGGCTGAGTGTCTATTTTTTCATGTTAGACTGCAAACCCATCTAAGCTCCATTCTCCTTTGATGATCATAATGTGACTCATTACTTTTGTCATCTAATGATTATCGGCATGATCGCTCAGAGCTAGAGCCAAGCTCGCCTTCCACACATAACTGGTACTGGAAGGTAAAACAGATTTGTCATTTACGATCTGACCGCTAAGCCACACTTTGTGCTCCATTATTGTGATTAACTTCTGCATAAGATATGCTTGCCCAATTGTCATTTGTGATACTGCAATGGGCACAGACTGCCATGCTTCCTGGGAGAATGTCAGCCAATAGGATGTGACCGTGTAGCTCATGATGTTAAATGTAAACCTGCTATTTCACAGCAGCAGGTCCATAATTATTTTGCTTTTCTTCTCCTCCTCCGTATTTGATTTCTTGGGTGAACAGTGTTGCTGCATATGTCAGCTACCATTTTCAAATTGTAGACTAAAATGGTGTTATCAGTTTCATTTTTCCAAGGATGGAGACAGCACAAGAGTGGAGGCTGGACCTTTTCTTTGTACCATGTAAAGTTTTGTTGCCAGAGCACTGCCAGTTGAAATCTATCGTGTCAGGTGCCTTGTGGCTATCCGCAGTAGAGGCCATATTCTGGAACCAGAGTTCTTTTCTGGCTTCGTCACCAACAAGCCGATTTGACTCTGCCTGATTATAGTAACGAAGGCAGTCCAAAAGAATATGCACAGACTCACTGTGCGTCACATTGAATCACAGCGCTGGCCACACAAAGCTGACCGCAGCCTCATTTCTTTAGACAAATGCACGCTTAAGGAAAAACCTCCTGCGAGAAAGCATCCAAGGCCACTTTATTTGCTATGCACGCTACACCAGATTTAATTTTTAGTGAAAGAACGTTTGTTATTATCTTTTTCAGATGTATCTATGCTGTGTAGCTACTGTCTGTAATAAACTAACCTTTGGGTGCTGGGATTATGGTGCCATGCTAAACACTTAGAGGAGGTTTATTTTATAATACAGAACATTAATACAGTCATAAATGTATTATCATATGAAACTGAAACGCTATTTTAGGCTATTTTTCACACTGATGATTAGAAGGAATCAAGTCGCATATTACAGCACCCATACATGCTGGTGTATAAATAGTCAGTTTTGATTACAAAGTGAGAGATGCAGCCCTAGACAGGAGCTACATGCTGATATGCATGCTATCAGAATGATTTATGCAAATTATGCATATTATTCCCAAAGGAATTCCTCCTCAAACTGCCAGGATAAATTGCCGGAAATTAGCCATAAAATCTGTCGTGCTAGGAGCCAAAGGTGAAGGCCACTGGGAAAGCAAGGACATTCAGCTTCTGGAGCCTTCGAGGATATGATGATGTTAGAAATCTTGTTTGCCGTAATACTGAGAAGAATGTTTTTTCTCATGATTCAATAAAAGTATTTTCTCTTTTAAAATTGCCAGGCAAATTGTTTACATTCACTCTGAAAATAATTGAAATCATAATTTGGCAGCATATCTTGTTGGATATTAAAAAAACCCTCAAAATACCTCAAAATTACTACATTATTAACAAGTTAAATGATTTTTTTCACAGTTCTTCTATTACAACCAACAGCTTTTGAAAGGCAGGCTAAATAGTCTTTTCAGTGCTTTGACTGGTATTTGCTCCAAAGTATATGGAAATGCATAACTCATTCATCTCTTTCGATTGTGTTGTTTTCAGCATGATGCCTGAATAATGGCTTTCCACCCAAAATTCACTACTGCCTAAAGCCAACAAGATTCCTCAGAACCATCAGTGAGAATTACATCTAAAGGTTCAGAATTGCAGCTTTTCCCCCAACCCCTCCGGGATAGTTTATTACCTCCTCGTAGCGTTAAGCTTGGTCGGGGTTTTTTTTAACCTGCCCTACTGAACTTGTACCGATCCAGCAGCTGTAGCCATGTATAACTTCCAATCATCTTCCATATTTTAATGCTTTTCCCCCCTCTTTGTTTAAATGCAGAGAGCGCTTTAAACGAGAGTTTACGAATGTGCTCATCTTCCATGAACATTCGGATCAGCCAAGAGGATTATATTCTCAAGCTTGGAGGAAATCAGGAAGTCGGTTTGAGGAAAGGAGACTGGATAGCTCTTTATCCTCAAATTTTGCACATGGACCCTGAGATCTATGAAGATCCTGAGGTAAAACATTCAGCTGGTGCTACTCATCATACTTCGGGCACATTGCAGCAGCCGTGATTTTTTGTGATAGTTTTTTACTGCTGTTCCTTCTTGTGGAACAAATCTTCCTACTTTCAGATGTATTTTCTAGCGCCCTGTAGGTCAAAGGATTCATGGCCTGAAGAGAGAAATATGGTGATGAGACTGACTGCTACTGCTTTCAAAGAGATTGACAATTGCACATTGACTACCATAAACTTTAGGTTAAATGTGGGTTTTGTTTGGCAGTGGATCATTTGATACCCAAGAAGGGCTGAATAATAGAAGGTGCTTTAGATAGCAAATAATGTGGACCATTTAGCTAAGTGCCCCCAAAGCATCATTGACTCTCCAAAGCCCTGTAATAGCAGTGTCTTACTTGAGCCATATGCTTTTTCACCTCTCTTCATAGGGATTCACCCCTTTTTGGTCAATTATTATGATGTTGTGAACTTGAGATTGTAAAGCTGTTGCTCTGCGGTGAAGCTCTGAGGGTAATTGTGACATCTCCTTATATTTTTTTCTGAAGCTAGAGTTAATGAATATCAAAGACTGGAAATTAATCCACCCTGGCTCAGCCTTAATATGACTTCAGAAGTTCACCACCTGCATGCAAATTGAATAGTCATACTCTTGCATAGATTTTACTGAGGGAAGGATTGTTGTTGCTAGTCCGGTGTGCTGTATAGGAAGTGAGATTTTACAAAGCGAGACCAGTCAATGCCAACTGCATCTTACAGAGGTGGCAGTTTATAACTAAATTATTTCTCCTCACCTACCCCTCATTTTCTAAGGCAAGTGGTTGTTTATCGATCCTTCTCCTTTAAACGCTTGTTAAGACAGTTGCAGATATATTCCAAATCATAGTTCAGCTTCAGAAGGGAAATTAGATTTGTTTACATATTTTTAGAAGATGATCGCTTGGATAAAACACACAACCAGTTTTAGAAGCGCTGCTTTCAGAAGTTTTGCTTCTCGCAGAATTTAAGAATAAAAACGTGTTTATTAAGTTGCAGGAAAAGAGCCAGATTCTGATGTCCTTATTCACATTGAATAGTATTGTACTCTACAAGTCGTCCTATTGAAGTAAATGGGACTAGTTTTGAAGTGTAAGGTGCGACTCAACATAATTGAGGATGTTGGAAGGCTGGCCAGAAGAAGAAATTAGAAATGGAAGTACTGCTATAGATATGAACACGATATCTCATGTCTTAGTAAAAACCAACTATCTGTCCATAAACAAAAAAGGAAAACTCTATGTATAAAATTAGTAGTTGAGCACTTTTTGAAGTCTCCCTTACTAAATAATTGTCAGAATGTGATACCATGTTTCCATAGATGGAGTATATTTTCTCAATATCAAATCTGCTCAGCTTTCACAGTATCACTTTAGTTTATGTACTTTATCATTTTGATGGCAAATGAGTTATCAGTACGTTGCAGAGTACATTCATAGATTCATAGATATTTAGGCCAGAAGGGACCATTATGATCATCTAGTCTGACCTCCTGCACAATGCAGGCCACAGAATTTCACCCACCACTCCTAAAAAAGACCTCACACCTATATCTGTGCTATTGAAGTCCTCAAATTGTAGTTTGAAGACCTCAAGGAGCAGAGAATCCTCCAGCAAGTGACCCGTGCCCCATGCTACAGAGGAAGGCGAAAAACCTCCAGGGCCTTCCAATCTGCCCTGGAGGAAAATTCCTTCCCGACCCCAAATATGGCGATCAGCTAAACCCTGAGCATATGGGCAAGATTCATCAGCCAGATACTACAGAAAATTCTTTCCCGGGTAACTTGGATCTTACCCCATCTAAAAACCCATCACAGGCCATTGGGCCTATTTACCATGAATATTTAATTACCAAAACCATGTTATCCCATCATACCATCTCCTCCATAAACTTATCGAGTTTAATCTTAAAGCAAGATAGATCTTTTGCCCCCACTACATTGATTTCAACACAGAGACCCTCTCAAAAAGGGGGAAAATAACTTCTGTTGTGTTCTTGAATTTGTTTTGTGCACATCTGTTGAATGAGATGCAGACTGGATTTTATGAAAGAGCAGTCTTGGGATTGTCATATATTTGGGGAATATAATGGGTGAGGAAAGTTTTCTGGGAAAACAGGTAGCTTAGTGGATTAGTTCAGTATTAACAATTCACCTCTGCAGACTTTTATCTTAAATTCAGGCCATTGATGAAATTAACATCTTATGGTTAGGTATCATATTACATAACTTTAACCATGTGTTGGTGACCTCTTTCTCTACTCCTCAAAGCCTAAGTAAATGAGCAGCAATATTAAGTCAGGTTTCTGTAATGTAGTCAAGTGACCCTATAATTCCTACATAAATGAGCCTAAGCTTCAGTAAATGATCGTGTGTAAATCCTGAACAATGGAAAATCAATATAGGAAATCCCATATAGTAACTTCCCAAACTGAGCCATACATCTTCTGTGATAAAAATGGATTTAAATTCAGACACATGAATTTGGTCAGTTTCCATAATGATTTAAATAAATGCTATAAAGTTTCATAGACCGTCAGCTGGAATTTTACCTCTTGTTTCCACTTCTCAATTTTTAGTTTTTTGTTTTTTTGTGGGGGGTTTTCTTCCTCCTCATGAAGAAAAAAACCGTACCCTATCAAAATGTCTTTCTTAAAAACACAGCTCCTTGCTGGAAAACCCAACAAAAGCCAATCCAAATTTCTGGGGACTGTGGATATCAGTACACATGTCACACCATTGTTTCCTCTCCTTGTTGGCTCCATTCTTGTTGTGTTAATAAGTTTCCTGTTTTCCTCAGTCCCTCAGACAACAAGTTTCTTGTCCAAGTTTCAGTCTTCAGCCTACTCGCTAAGAAGGCATAGGGCTGGCACAGCACAGGACACCTCAATCTGTGATCCCAGCAAATCCAGAATCCTGTTTGTTGTGTTATCCAGTTGAGTTAAATGCTAAGGATATTACAGCTCATGTTTCAGAGGGCTAATAGTTACTCCTGATCATTGGAACTTGCATTTAAAATGTGATACTTTTAGAGAAGAATCATATTTTGGGCTTTCAGTATTCACAATATTACTTGAAATTGAAGTAACTTATAAGAAAAGTAGCACAGTTCTTTCTGAGTGGGATTTTCAAAGGGACTTCAGGGAGTTGATTTTTCATTGGAAGTTGAGCACCTAACTCCCTTAAGCCCCTTTGAAAATTCAAGCCACCTCCTGCCTTTTTTAAAAAATTATCTCCCAGTCTTCAGCATGTGAAGTCACATATCCTCCAGTATTGTATGTACTTGTTACCACTATGAAATGCTAGTCAGATCTTCTCATGGACCAGCCCAATACACCTCCACTGCTTGCTTCTCAAGATAGTGTACAGACAGCCAGGAGGCCCTGCTGATCACAGTTTAAGAATCTGATAGGAAGAACAGGGTTCTGGTAGTCAGAAGTCTAGGTTTCTCTACCATTGTTTCTTACTGATGTTCAAGAGCATTATGGAAACTGAGTCATTTTATTTTTCCATAGGACATGTATAGAACAGGCAATCAGAAAATGTACAGTATTATTATGTTAGTATTTTTATTAAAATTAATATATTGCAGTGTCTTTGGTCTCTCTGGCAAAGAGCTAATCAATCCACTTTTTCCTCCATGGTATGGCTTGACCAGGAACCTGCCTGGTTAACTTTCTATGACTTTTTTTTACTATCAGCTGAGATGGTTTCTGTCTGAATTGCTTGTTCAAGTCTAACTTTCAAAAGCTTGCACTGTAGCAGATGTATGCTAACTGGCCAAGTGCTAATGAGTGACCATAAGCAGAAAGTGTTTTGTTATTTTCATTCAAAGCATACATGACTATTTTTAAGAGGTTTAATTCACCATGGACTGAGCTAAGATTGCCACATCTCCTTCATTCACAAACTCAAGTTAGCCCTTAACGATGACCCTGATACTAAAGGTTTTCAGAAAGGTGTTAAATTTATGGGACCTAAGATACTAGCTAAACTTATTGGAGTAAATTCTAGAGTACTTACTCTAGAAAAACACTTCCTGCTATGTTCACTTATTAACATGTGGCCTGCTTTGCACGCATCTTCCATAGCAAGCTATTGAAAGTCAGGTGTGAACAAGTGAGACAGATGGAAACTATCTTCAACTGACAAGAACACTGATCGTTATCAGGGCTAGTTCCTGAACAATCCACACCATGAGAGGGAAGGTGGGAGTTGCAGTAGATCAATTTTCTCCTTGCCAGAAAGAGCAAAACCGTTGTACCAATGGGATTTTGCCAAATTTTTCAAATTAGTAGTAGTAGTAATGTATGTAGCCTCCTGGATGTATAGGATGCTTCACAAACAGAAACTGTGCTCTTCCTGAGTGTCATTGTCCCGGCCTCAAAATGCCCATAATTAGAACAGAAGAAGGCTTTTCCTGCACTGGTTTGGACATAAATAGTCCCCTCTCTCTTCCGGTCACCTGGTGAGAATGGGTCCCCATGCTGACCAGCTATGAAGCTGCCATAGCAACTAACACACTCTCTAGCCCTTAAAGGGGCAGCACACCTTTCCCAACAACCCAGACAGTAGCCCCTGCCACTTAATGTGCAGTGAGGTCATTTGAAGATAGATAAAACTCAATTTAAGTGAACAGACTAAAAGGAGGAAGCTGTCAGTTCCTTGTCTTAGCTCTTAACTTACATCAGGGTTTTAGAAACACCCTCTGCACCCTCTTGCAAATGAAACCACTCATGTAACTGCTCTGTTAATTTTCACCGTCTCTCTTTTATTTTCAGGTGTATAAGTTTGATCGTTATATAGAGAATGGCAAGAAGAAAACCACCTTCTACAAGGGGGGAAGAAAGCTGAAATACTTTCTGATGCCTTTTGGCTCTGGAATCAGCATGTGTCCTGGCAGGTTCTTTGCAATGAATGAAATGAAGCTGTTTCTGATTTTATTCCTGGCTTACTTTGACGTAGAACTAGTGGAAAAGAAGCCCATAGGGCTTGACAACAGTCGTATGGGCCTTGGTATCCTCTTGCCAGACTCTGATATTGCCTTTCGTTACAAGATAAAGTCTTTTTAGAAAAGTAAACTGCCTATTGCAGACTTCCCACTATTCTCACCTTTTTTGCTGTTTCCTGGCTGTGTATTTTCTTTTTAGAGAGGTTTGCTTTTTCCTGTTCTGCTTTCATCTCTCTCCTACTTGTGTATGTTTAAGTGAAGAGAGAGTAATGCTAAATGTCTTAGGGCTGGAGGATCACCTCCACAGACACGAGAGCACGAGTGCCTGGAAATTGATAAGGGGGCATGGAAGAAAGCAACAACTCTGAGACATTCACCCTGCACAATACCCTGAGCCAATAGAAGTCATTAGTTGCCATTCCACACTACACTTTCTCTGCTGAGGGGGAAATATCGTAATTGGGGTGGCCGGTGGCTGCATGCCTTTGTAACCCACATTAACTCAATGTGCGCCTCTGTCCTCCTCTAGTGGCTGGACCACATGAGAGATTTTTGTCCCCTCTGCTGCCCTGGTGCTCAAATATTTGGTCCTTTAACTCAGTTCATAGAGGCTCAGCCTTTTAGATCTAAAGGTCTCGGGTTCAATCCACAGACAGTTGACCCATCTGGACGTGTCATTACACTTGCTCAAGGAAACCTGCTGCCCAAGGATAAAAGGGACCTGGAGAGCAGTGTGGTGCAGAAAGGGGACTTTTTTTATTCCCACCATTCCCAAGCACCTTTCCCTTCAGCAAAGCATTCACTAGAAACCACACAAAATCTGTCTTGCTGGTTTTCTGGGCCCACTTTCCTCTCTGATGGATTTTACTCTGGGAGGGTCCAGTGTGACCTTTGATGACCCCCAAAATTTATGATTTACAGTGAGTGTTCCATTGGCCCCTCTTCCATCTAGGCATCCTTGCACTACAGAAAAGCCTTGGAGAAAAATACTAGTGTTTTTGTTTAGAAGACCGACTTCAGTGAAGTGCTGGATTGGGCTCCTGGGAGCCCTTGCTTAAATTATACTGCCAAATGGAAAGGAGAGTGAATTGCTATCAATGGAGCTAACTTTTTTTTTTTTAATTCCCATGGAGAGTATCTCCTCAGATCCTTCTCGTCTCTCCCCATCCCCCCCCAAAAAAGGTAAAGTAACCTGCACCCCATTTCAAATCACACTGTTCTACACTATCAGTGTATTCGGTATATTTTTCAGGAACAAAAATATAAACAATTCCATCAAATGCATTTACTGGTAAATTGTTCACCTAGTGGTGCTGCCCCTGTCTTGGTTATAGCTATTTTCATGTAAACAGAAAAACAAATGAAGTGGTCCTACTGCCATCCCCTCCCTGAGAAATCCAACCTCTGGTAAATGGGGTTTATCACAGGCTAATGGGGATATGATTTGTAGGAGTATTTTGTTATTGTCCTGGCAGCATTTCACTGGCTTAGGAGTACTTTTTGAAATTCAACAGTTCGTTAGTTATGCAACACGAATCAGTAATCTGAATCTACTACTGTTATAGGGCCTGATTCAAACTCTATTAAAGTCAGTGGGAAGCTTTTGTTGACTTTAATAGGGTTTGAATCAGGCCCATACTGTCTACTGATTTATCTGAGCCACAACACTACATTATTTCACATTTAATGTGAGCCTGTTTAAAATGACACCATCATCTTAAAAATGAGACTTCAGCCTACTAGCATTACCAGTAATATTTTGGATTGTTACAATTGAAATAGATTAGAGAAGAAAACAGAATTGTTTGGCTTGTTTACTTTGTGCGTTTGACAGCATTTTGTATTTGCCAGTTTCTCCTGTTGTCTTTCACACACACACAAAAGAAGACATTTTTCAAACTCTAGAAAAATATGATTGCAAAACCACAAAAATTGGTATGGGAATTCCAGGACAAAAGTAACACCTAAAACTACTTTTAACTGGTTTTTAAAAAGATGACTAATTTTCAAGTTGATGGTGTCATTTAATCTGTGTTTAGAACTAGAATACTATACCTACAAACTGTGAAGTGGTCTGTATCACTGGCTCCTGTTTGAGATAACTTCCCCTACCTCCATATTCCTGATGGTTCAAAAGACAGTTAAAGTGCTAGGAATTTGAGTAAAACTCTGTGTGACTAAGACAATTTTAGAAATCTAAAAGCGGGATTTATTTACAGAGAGGTGACTTCTAATGAATGCCATTTTTCCCTAGTCTTTTACATATTTCAAAGCTGTGGCCTAAATAATGTTGTGCTACTTAAAGAATATTGCTAATTGTACAAGAAGCTAACAACTTCAGCCTCACGCATATCCTACAGCCTCTGGAAATTGTTCCCACATCAATTACACACAGTTTCTTACTGATTCTACATTCCTCCTTAATATACCTCCTCTGGGCCCAAATCTGAGCCTGCTTTTTGCCCTTAGCCTTTATGTGGTAACCCCATACAACCGTAGAAATGAGCTGTGGACTGATCTTAGGGAGAGCTGAGCTAGTTGTAAGTGGGACCCCAGGGTTCTGCTTCATAAATAAGCTCCTCATGCACATTGTAGGCCCCTCATTTCCCTTTTTTCTCATTGTAGGCCCCACATTGTAGTACTGCTTCATAAATAAGCAGTACTCATGCACATTGTAGGCCCCTCATTTCCCTTTTTTCTCTCCCAAGCTGGAGACAGGGCCAGAAAGCCAGAGGTCACTTCATGTGAGCAGTGCCTGCCCTGAAGATGTGTTCCACCATACAATTATCATTTATAGAAGTTAGACTGGAAAGAGGTTGGAGAGCCATGCCAGCACATAAATACTAGTTTAGGGAACCAACCTCTGCTCAGTCCCATGCCGGATTTGCATTGGTCTCTGTAGTTGCAAAGCTAATTTACTGCTGGGCTGTTTTAGCTACATGGATGTGAGCAGAGACACAACTTGTCCCATAAACATTCATAGACACTCTCCTGAGTTGTAATTAGTGACTCATGTGGAGTCAAAGAACACAAAAGGAATTGTGGGAAGTTATCTCAGTGTTTTTGGAACAAGTCATTTAGAACTAAATTCCCAAGCGTTCATTCATTTTTAGTGCCTCCTTTTTAAGTGCCCTAAATTGACAGCACCCAAGGCTTAGTGTTCAGAGGTGCTGAGCACCCACAACTTCACTTGACCTCCATGGAAACTGTAGATGCTCTGAAAAATAGGCCGAAGGTGTCTCCCTCCAACTGAGCACCAAAGCTAGTGGACATTTTTTTTAAAAGTAAGCCTTAATTTCCTGTGCCTCGGTCTTCCTCATCTTTAAAATGGGGGAAATCTTTCTTTGCTTTGCAAAGCACTTAAAGACCTATGGATGAAAAGCATTATGTAAATACTAAGGACTAGTATTATTTGTTGTTTATGCCTGAGGCCATTTAATTATTCATGTAAACTATATCCCCAAAATCAGCATCACTAGAAAGACTTTCAAAGATTGGCACATCTAAGCTCCCAGGCCTCTGGGAAGAAAATTGTTTTTGTGAGATATATTGAATGAACATTTTCTCTTCATATATAATATCAATACTACCTATGGTATTGGAGTATACTTATATTAAAAGGGCTTTGCAGTTGATTAAATGCCTTAAGTTTGCTTCAACATTTAATCAACTGCAAAAGCTGTTTATTGCTTGTATACTCCAGCTCAATAGAATAAAATTTATTTTTTATATACAGCCTTTCATATTCAGGTTAGTTACTAGTGTAGTGACTCTGTAGGCAAACATCGCAGCTATTCTATATTCAGCCGTTGCTCACAATCCTCTTGGATGTAAGAACCTGTTTTATTGAGAGAGAGAAAATGCTGACATCATTACCATGTTGACTATAGACATTATTGCTTAAATGTAAGCTGTGAAATGTCTCATGCCACAATTATGATAAATCTTTCGTTGGCGTTCCATTTTGAAACAAATGTGAAGCAACTGTGAAAATAAAAGTAGGTATTTGTTTTAAACCTAAGACCTTCTTTGACTCATACTGTGCTTTTAGGATTTTGAATTAGAGTATAACTCGCTGTAGCATAATTTAGTAGGACATACTTGGACAGTGCCAAAAGTGAATGAAAAACATTACTAGTTTCAGATTAATCACTGATCAGTAGGTATAAATATCTATTCAGAAATAAAACAAATATGTACAAACAAGCAAATAAAAATCTAGCTGTATCTTAAAGCATCAGGTCACAAGTAAGAAGTTGAGGCACAGCCCTGCAAGGTGCTGAGCACCCTCTCCATATTTACCCACTTTAATAGGAGTATAGGGTGTTCTGCATCTCACAGGATTGAACACTTGATTTGAGGTAAAATTGGCCTTAGCTTTTGCTAAATAACCAAACCTAAACCAGGCAGCGAGAGTCCCTGCTGAACAGACTCAGATCTACCCAGGCGGTATCGAGAATCTAGTCGCCTAACACTGGCTATCCAGAGCTGGCATCCCCTAGTAAGATCCCATCCTCGGACTTTCTACCCATGCCTAGCAATGGCGCAACCTAGTATTGTGGCCTTCTCATAAGAGTGCCTCACATACTCCAATCCACTGCAAAGAGCAAACCTCATCTTGCACATGTTAGTAGGGTCAAGCCCTGCTAAGAAGTATGTGTGAGAGTTGAGGAGATGGGGCATTTCATCTGGCTGCTCCTCTGGATCCTGCTTTATTAGAAAGACTGACTGGACATAACCCCCAGGAAACTGGGTCATATTGACCATGGCCAGTCCAATTAGATGTCTGCGTAAGTGACAGCCACTGGATCAGACAGAATCTGAGGGCAGTAAGCCTGCCCAGAACAGACCATTTGGGTTCAGAGTGGGTGAGTGAAAGCTTAGGACCCACATTCCCACCATGAACCATGTCAGTCCACAGTCTTTGGGCTTGAAGTGGACACACCCACATGATTAACTCCGACATGTTCTAGTTGGCTTTAGCCAGTCCTGAAGCCACCCACGAATGCTAGAGTTCCATGATTGCTGCATGGGACAGGGAGCAGCGCAAGCCTGTAATCCCATCAAATGTTTCTGGTGAGAACCTAAACCATAAAACCAGACCTTGAGTAGCGTTCAGTGTCACCAGAGCCCTAAGATGGATATCTGGTCATATACGTACGGACTGTTTCATTGCGTACAATGTGGAATTGCCATGAATCCTTCTTTTAAAAAGTCATGTTTTTTTGCTCTTTTTTACCCTGTTCATTACCACCCTGAAAGGCCTTGCAATGTCATGACCATCCCTCCCACAGACCTAGTAGGGGTGGATAGGACTCCTTACGTATGTCAGGCCGGGAGGTATTCAGGTGCCACTCCAGCCACTGGAATCGCAATGTTGCTCCCCTTTGTGGTAGAAAGGTGCACTGCCCAATCCTTTTAAAAAGTGAAACTGCTGATCAAGAACACCCTGCCCATGGTTGTGCCAGCTGCCAAAACTCACTCTCCCATGCCCCAGCAGTTCATCTTTTTAAATATAAAATTAAAGTTCAGTTCCAGTGCAGCGACTTGTGGGAGCTGCTGGAAGACTCCGTCTGACTTTTAAAGTTAACATTTTTTTAACAAGTGAACTCCTCATGAACCAATGTGAACACTAAAAGGTGAGCCTTATTGTTATGTATGGGTAGTATGTGCTCTTTCCTGTTCGGTACTTAGCAACCTTGTAAGCAATTGTACAGTCCTGTTTGAAAGGATTACAATGCTTCCCTGTATGATTATATGAGTAGTTGTGTGTAATTGTTTGCAAATTAGATTTGGCTACATTGCCATGTCTCTAGCAATGTGCTTTAATGTACTAAAAACCACATAAGAAATGTGCATTAGTTTACTTTTTTTAAGTCATATTGTATTACACTACTCTCAGAATTATTATTTTTTTATGAGTAATCACTGATCTTTGTACTTCATTTGTAGGGGTAGAAATGATATTTTATTTCATTATTACTGAATATTTGGATGTTTAAAAGATTGTCAATTGGTCTTAATTCCGTAAACTGACATGTTGTAAATAGATGCACAAAGTTCAGATTCTCCTTTAATAGTTAATGTCCATCATTAAGGCTTTTAGACTGAATAAGGTACATCTGTGAATTTCTGAGCAAGAAAAGTGAAACTTCATGTACTTTACTAATCTGACCTTTTATGTGAATTTTGTATTTCAAAAGATACAATAAAATTGAATGGATCTATTCACATATTGAATGACTTTCCTTGTCCGTCCCTCCCCCCTCACACCTGAACATACATACATTTATGCAATACCACAGATATTGCTTTCATTTAAAAAAAACCTGACTTATGTAGAGTATGGCATTCTGTTACTTGACCATGAAAGATATTTTTAAAGAGAAAAAAGGTGAGTCTGTGTTAAATTATGATAATCACTGTGCATTTGTTAAAATACTCAGTCCATTTAATCTTGCCCGTCTTAAACCGGTCCTGAAGAGAGAGTAAAGGAAGGAGATATTTCTGTAATGCTTATGGCAAACTTGAAAGGTAGTGTGAGTGGGTGCAACTCCGCCATTAGAGTCATTTCCAAATGTGGCCCTCAGTCTTTGATTCCTATCTACCTCTGAGTACAGCAAAATGCATAACAAACCATATAAAATGTTCCAACCTCAAAAGGTCATTAATAAAAATTTTAAAAAAATGAAATGTGGCTGTTGATGTACACCTGGCAAAATATGCCCTTGTACTCGGAAACTTAGCTTTTCTAAGAATCACTTGCAGTTGCTGGAATTCTTCAGTTAGCTCTCTGATATGCAAGTCAAACATTGATGAGGACATTGTCTTTTGCTTCTTAATCCATAGATATTTTTAACAGGCGTAAAAGTGTGGGTTTTTGGAGACTTATTTAGCAGAAAGCAGACTTGCATAGCTTTGCTGTATTTCAGAAATAAGTCTGCATAACATAATGTTTTCAAAACAATTACCTAGCTTTGTGAAGAAAAAAGGCAATAGTGGTTGGGATTTTAATAAATGAACATTTTTGAGTGAAGTGTCCTTGCTGTTCTAGAAGCTAGCTGTGTGAGTGGAAAAACTAGTTGCAGATTGTACTGTATTTTATCTAATATTGGTCTTGACACTAAATGCTCTCTTAAAGTTATTTAAATTGTGTGCAATACTTTAAAATTACTCGGCACATCACTTTTACTCATAATATATGCTCAATTCAGATTAATGAAGTTATTTTTAACTGTGACAACAGAGAAACTTAAGGTTAAGAAGAAATTGAACGTAACTGAAATATTTTTCTGCTAGTTATTTTATTTGGCTAAATTTATATTTATAAGGACTATAGAGTGACAACTCAAGAAAATAGTAGAATTACAACATTTTTAGGTAAAAGTATCACTTCTAGAAAAGTTGGATTCTTTAAAGAAATGTATATATTCACATATAAAGTGCAATGAACGAGTAGCAAGAAACTTTCATTGCATCTATAGAAGCATTCACCATACAACTGCATATTTTTCATTTGCAAGGGCTGAATTAAAATTAAGTGTTGGATGCAATGTGATCTTTATCAGTTAATCATAAACAGTTCTATGTATTAAATTGCTTTTGCTATGCAGCATGTTTCACTGTATTCTCGACTATGTACGTGATTATTTATAATAGTAGAAATACACTTGCCTTCAAACATTACTGTACAACAAAATAAAAAGTTCAAACAAATTTAAGTTTCACCTATACTGCCAAACTATTCCTGTGAAAGTTTAATAGATGTTTTAATAATGATTTGCTGGAATTTTTATTAAAGTTGACCTAAATTGTTCACAGTACATTATTTTCTTACCAAAACAGTAATGATTGAGAATACAGCAGAGCTGAGAAAGTACAAGTTAAGAGATACAGTAAGTAAATATACACTGTAAGACATAGCAATGATTTATTTTTGATCAGTTCATCCCACTTACTGCATCTCTCCTCAGATAGTTTAGTTGTTAACCTCATACTGTCAGGATGTCTTTCCACTTCTGTTTTCCTGTTTTGTGGGCCATTTAATTCACTATTCAGTATGTAAATATTTTTCAGTGGCCATCTAAAATTGAAATATTTACAGCAATGAAACTAGAGTCTCAAAAAAGAGGGAAATTTGTAACTATAACTCACAGGTCAGGATATTAAAGACTTGTACATGAAAAGTGGATGGACATTGATTGAGCAATAGATTAGAAGATTATCCTATGAAGAGGAATTCTGTTTGTGAAATGCAGAAACACTAATTGCCTCCTGATGTGGCTCGGTTTTGCAAGAGAACACCTTTTTATTTTTAATGTAGCAACACACTTTAAAAAATCACTCTAAGAACATGGCTATATGTCCAAGAACACCACTAAATTTAATTGAGGTTTTTAAATGATACAATTTAGTATTAAACTTTGTGTTATCTGATTAGATTTTAAGGCAGCAAGAGGGATAGTACTTTGCACTTATTTCCTTTGTGGGTTATGACTTAATACTTCCTCAAATTAAAATATTACACACCTCCAATGACTTTTTAGTCATCTGACCTCAGAATGAGAGAGAGACCAGACAGTCCTAAAAACACCACCTTCTTCAGTAACTGTTTGAGTGGAATAAAAGAAATGGGGTTTCCTAATTAGCTAGTCTGTTAGCATATGTCCCGTCTGAATTCCTGGACCTAAATATGTATATTGATATAAAAGAGAAGAGCAGTTAGCCATAAAAAGAGATATTTGAATATTGGAAAGATATTGGAAAACGTTGGCAAATGATAAAGATTTGTAAAAATCCATGGTGAACTTTCTTCTGAAACTTCTTAGAAGAAATAATAGCTGCTTTGGATAACCACTGATACCTTTCTAAGGTGTGATGAAGAAGTTAATTTAGGGTTGGCTAGCAGTTTGAGTGTCATTAAAGTTTCAGTTGTGCCCCTAGCAGAAATGTATTTTTCTTTTCTATTTTAATCTGTGACAATTATATAAGGTTTAAGGAAATGGTGGTTTATCTACAATGCATCATTTTGCTATAGCTTTCAAATCAGTCACAGATCATAGTTCTTACAGGTGCAGATATGAATTTACAAATACAGCAGTCAAATGCTTGAAATATACATTTATTTCATGATGTATTACACGTCTCTGAATCGGGTTGAGAGGACAAGGGCGAGTACGGGCTCTGGGAAACGATTAACGCATGCAAAGTCTGCCTGAAGATAGCCCGTGCAAATTAAAGCAAACCCCTTAGAAAGCATTTCTATTAGCATGTTGAAATGGAGCTGATCTAGCCATTATTCTGTAAAGCCAAGGGGCTGGGCTGTAGCTCACAAGCTTTTGCTCACCGAACGTATTGCAGTGTTTCTTCAGCAACAGCACTGATTAACTAACCTTAGTTTCCGAGTTACCCCTCAGTGTAAAGGAAAAGCCAAATCAAGCAACTGCGTACTTCAACTTGACTGCAGCGTGAAGCGATAGTACCTGATCTGCTTAACCCTTGCTACTCCTGACTGAACGATTATCAGTATTTTCTATGGGAAGGGACAACCCATTATTAAACTCTGGTGAACTTTGCTAGACTCGAGCCCACTCGGGTCTCTCGGAAGGAGCGCAGAAGGGTCAGGACAGGTGAAGACTCAGGGGAAGGAAATAAACATTCTTCCTCGAGCTTCTGCCCCTGTCTTGCCTGGCACGGCTGGAGCGTTAAGGGAAGAAAGAAGTACCACGAAATAACCTTCCCTTCTGTCCACACCAACAAGCCAAACTCCAGGAAGTGCCGGAGCTGGAAATCCACCTGCCCCAGGAGAGCGAGAGCACTAAGGGGAACATCCCAGTGGGGCATTTCCAGCTGCCTGATTGGAGAGAAGGAGGAGCAAGGACGAGCCTCCGGAAGCGCAAAACCCAGGACAATTAGAGGCACTGCACAAGGAAAGCGGACTGCAATGGGTGGCAGTCTCCGTGTAGACAGTGCATCTAAAGAATCCGTACTCCAGCTTGAAAGGCGAAGCAGCAGCTTCGCTTCTCCATGGCAATCTGTTAAACTAATGTTTATGTAAAACGGGCGATCTTGTTTTAAAAAGGGGAACAAAAGTCAGACAACCCAGGCCCTGTGAATTAACCCGGCACTGCAACGGAGCCCGGAGCCGACTTCCTTTAAAGTTGTGTACCTGTCAGGCAATGACTCGCTCCGCCATCTGAGTAAAAGCCCAGTTTAAATCGCCCCTGAGGGTATTGGCAATGGGCGAAATCACAGTTCTAAAGGATCCTGCGATGGCATACGCACGAGTGGCTCATTTATTTTACCAACAACCCACTTAAAAAAAAAGTGTTAATTGCTGCAAACTTTCCTAGCACGTGGGTAATTTACTTTGACGGCTGCATTTTAATTAAAAGCAAACTTATTTATGTTTCTGATGTTTATATTGCGCAATTTAATTACGTTTAGAGGCAGCACCGCATTCCCCCCCATCCTAAATCACATTTTCATTAAAGGTTTGAATAAGAAAACTCACTTGACCACTATTCATTATCTCTTCCCCTCCGTGCGCACAAGTTCACTTACCCATTCATTTAGTCACTTACTCATTCCAGCAGATCCGCTGCGACTGCTGCCAGCAGGGCTGTGCACACTCATCATTATTTGTCAAAGTCTCCAAAGTGTATTATCCCTTTTTCCAGCGGTAATTAGTTACCATAGCATCTAATACGTAAATGTGCCCAGTGCACACCGTTAACAGTTAAACGAAGGATTCAATTTAACACATGATTATATCTTTCATAAGTCATTACATTAGGAAAGTCAATGTCACTCACGCTGGGACAGGGGCAGGATTAGAACTGGGGAAAGGGGGTGGGGGGGAGTCTGTCTTGGCACCCGGAGCGGAGGGGTGGTTTTGGAGAAGGCTGGTTGAACGGGCTCGGTGTGGCGGGGTGTTGGAAGTGGAACAAAAGCTCTTCCAGGGGCTGGTCAGTTCTGCTGAAGGGGGGAAATCCCCCCGCCCCAGGAGCCCGCACACTGCTCGTCTGACAGAGACCATGGGTAAGCCCGGGCGGGCGACAGTGTAGGCGCCGGGTCCGGGTCAGTTCCCAGCGACGCTGCTGCTTACAGGGGAATAGGCAAGAGGTGTTAAAAGCGGCACCGGCTCGGAAACTGTCACAGGCTCGACAAAAATAAAGTCAGATCAGTCACCCGCCCTGACAGGAGGCGATGGCCGGGATTGAGACTTGTTTTCTGAGCCATCTCCGCGGATCCTCTCTGCTAACTCTTTCTGGCGCAAACCAAGCTTATAAAAGCAGCTGGGGGCGAAGGGTGGGGGTGGGTCTTGGAGGATTGCTTTGCAAAAAATACAACGTTAACTGAAACCACTAGGAAGGCACCTACGTGCACACAGTTAGGGAACGGTAGCGACATTGGTGGCTCAGAACTAGCTTTGCTCTCGACTGCCAGCTCGGGCGTTTAAATGTCAAATTTCAGACAACTTAAGCTTCCCGAGTGAATGCCTGGGAAGAACCGCTCCTAGGGGAGTGGGGCTGTCGTAGCAAGTCGCTGTTCTCTAGCAAACTTTTGGTCACTCGTCAGCAGGTTAAGGCACTTCCAAAGAATGTCACAGATCACAGGAAATAGCGCCCAGTCAGGTACAGCTCTGGAGAGAGCTCTGATCAGGGCAGGCTGTTTAACAGTGCTGAGCAGCTGGTTTCCAGCCTAGGAGGGGATGCGTTTGAACTAAAGTAGAGGAACGAGCCAGGCTTATTTTAAAAATTGGCCCCACCCTTTGATTCATAAAGACTCCCCCTTCCCCCGCCTTCACCTTGCCTTCCATAGCAAAGATCATCATAGCATTGCCACACGGAATTATTGAAACCCCTGGGATCTTCCTTTCCCACTCCACAATTTGTTACGCGGTACTAATTCTAGCAAGAATTGAGAAGGCAGCCGCACCTAGGAGAGGGATATTTCAAGGAAGGCGCCTTTGTCATGAGAAATATGAAGCAGCAACTCTTGCAGCAAACGTGTCCTGAGATGTTAATATGCGCGCACACACACACACACAAGTCAGCCGGGTGGCTGTGGTTAATTCCTAATCAGAATGATGGACAGCAGAGACAGAACAATACAAACTGATGGCTGTGTTGCTGATCACTTTACCCCTTGATTAAAGACACCCAATTATGGCGCAGAACAGTGTCGTAATTATGTTCCTTAATCACATCCAGGAGGTTTAATTGCCTTAACGATGTGTTTCATTAAATGAATTTAGGTATTATAGTCGACAGTTTTCATACACAGTTGTTTTCAAATTAACATAATATTAGACATCGTCATGGAAATTGTTTTAATAATCATAATTAGACGCACCCAGGCTTTGTCTAGTAAATGCTGAGAGACGGCTCTGCTTGCGCCTGGGGGCCGAGCTGCCCACCCTGGCTGGGCTGCCTTCCCACAGCTTCGTGGCACTTTACAGTTATGGTTCCTGAAAAGTTACAGGTTCTGATTAATCTCTTTGATGGCAAGTGGAGCGGAAATATGTATCCCTTTCTACCACGCTGGCTGCCATTTAGGGCTCTCAGAAGCTGAGACTACCCAGAGCCAGCAAATAGGGCATACTGCATGCAGCGGGCACATACACACAACCCCGACAGACCCCACCAAGGAAACCTGGCGGTGGGTCTGGGCTTCACGGAGGGAAGAACTGTAGTGCCTCCCTCTCGGGACCCCACCGCCCCTGAGCCGGCACACGTGTAAATGCTCACACTCCAGATCAACGCGGGTAAAAGTCACTTCAGCACTTGGGTTTGTTTATATTTATAATCGAGCCTGACTGCTCTTCGGGTGCGAAAAGCGAGGGGCTTTTGGACTGTGGCCTCGAGCTCCCAGGGCGTTCAAGGAACAGCAAAGAGGACCTAAAAACGTTTTATGTGTGTGTGTCCCCTCCCCTCCCCAGGAATTGCAGACCGTTACTCATGTTAACACTGCCATATGTGGGAACATACCAAAACCCTAACAGCTTGCATCTTTTCAGCATTAACTCTCCCCCCACCCCCCAGACTGAGGTTTCATCTCCAGGCTGGAAGTGTGAAGAAAGCCTTCAATCGTCCTACAAGCAAACTTGGGGGCTCTTCTCTCTCTTCCTCTGTCTCTCACTACTGCTTTCATTTCTCTTTCTTGCAACGAGGCAAACCCCTGTCAATTAAACAGGTGAATGATAACAATGGATCCGTGTCAAGAACTTGAATGCCACAGTCCCTGAGCGATGCTATTTTTATATGCTTGGCACCCAGGCAAAGCCAGAGAGAAAGGGGATATTTCAAACCCCCTCTCCCCCCCCCCCCGTTACTGGTACAAAGCACAGCATAATAATAAAAAGTTTGTTGAAAATATTTTAATAAAGATTCTTTCCGACATAGATACACATACAAACGATCGTACATTGCTGTCATAATCTGATTGACCTATTTAATATATATCATTCTTTACACATCCATGACCTGCCAACAGATCCATGACGGCTCCTCTTTCGCCATCCAACCTGACAGTCCGAATTTGTATTATCTGCAAGTAGTGGAAAGGAGCAGGACTCGTTTTTGAAGGGGGGGGGGGGAATTGATTTACAAATGGCAGAGAGACAGCTACCCAGCCATGCAAACTCAGACTGAAAGCTCACTTTGGGTAAATAGCCACTTTTTGCTCTTCTCCTTATTTTATTTTGCTTTAGATTAAAAAAAAAAATCACACGTTCTGTAAATCAGCCCGAAGTATTTCAATTTAAATAATCATCCACAGTCAGGTTAATTTACATACATATTGAGAGCAATTAAACTATACCTTTGGGGAACACACACACACACACACACACAAACAAAAAACCAAAAACAAAACCAGCGTCTGGGAACACATGAGCTTAGCAAGTGTTTTTTTCCCCCTCATAGGAGCTATTGCTTTGATGCCTTGTAAAAGTAAATCGCTATTACCCTTTATAATGCAAAGAATCCCCCTTTTAAAAAGTCAGTTAATTGAGAATTAAGAATACACCTTTCCTGTGATTTTTGGACTGAAGCAATTTATTAAAGCTCAATTGAAATACAGGGATGATGCAACTTAAAATCCAGACGACCTTTCATCAACCTAAGCAGCTCCGATACAGCAATAGTTCTGCGTATACCTTGTTGGCAAATAAACGTTTTAAACACTTGGCACACAGTTTAAGTTAATCCATAAAACAGAATTTTAGAAGCATTTTAAAAAAAACTGCACATAAGACCCGTGACCTAAACACATGATAAATATTGTTGGCGTGGAAGGGTCCTTGAAAGAAGAACAAATAAATATCATGTCTTGTTTATACATCATTGCAACGTGGAAAGAAACAAGGTGCACATAAATATTTGTTTTAAAAATGCAACACTTTCAGCCACACGGAGTAGGGTGTTTCTCGCTCGCTCGCTCTTTAAATCACTCTCGCCAAAACTTCGCGCATTTTCACAGGATCAAAGTTCAGAGACAATAAAAAATACAAGTCAGTCTTTCATAGCAACGGTTCAGGCTCTTGGTTTCGTTTAAACAAGAAGTCTGCGTTTCAAGTTTGTTTGGCGCCTGGCTCAGCATCAGAAAAATTGGTTGCAAGTGCCCCTTCTGATTTGTCTGAATGGCCGTGCAGCTGGAGCCCCCGCCACCGCACCCCAGCCAGCCAGCCACCCACCCCCTGGCCTCAGCTCGCTGGGGCAGAGTTCTCGAGCCCCAGTCAGCGGGATTGAAATACATCAGCTGGGGAGGGGGGCTTCCTTTTTCCTCCCCCAGCTGCTATTTCTCAGCCTCTCTTTGTGTCCACACACACACACACACACACACACACACACAATTGCGATTTTTTACTTCGCTGAGGTCTTGGTTGCGATCAAGTCACCACTTCCACGAGGAAAGCCCCCAAGCCCACCCCCGGCCCTTTCCAAAAAAGAAAAGAAAAACCTTAAGCCTAATAACCACGAGAAACGGAGGATTTAGCCCAAGTCCTTGCCCAGAGTCGCCCCCCCCCGCACCCACCCACCCCTGCCAGCTCCTTGCCCTGCCCGGGTGGAAGCGCCTGGCGGGGGCTTTAAGGCTTCTCCGTGCACTGTTTGCAGAGGCTGGAGGAGACGCTGTTGAAAATGGCACATTTCTCCGGGCAGGAGCTGGCAGGGGGCAGGCCGGCGCTGAAGGGGTAGCCGGCCGCCTGCTCGTAGGCACCGAGGGCTGGGTGCAAGGCGGCTGCCGCGGCCGCCGCCGCCGCCGCCGAGCTGGGCAGGGAGGCGGCCGAGATGGCCTGGCCCTGGTTGAGATAAGCCACCAGGCGCCGCATCTCCTCCAGAGCCTGCGCCTGCATGAGGATGTAGTTCTTGGCCAGCAGCAGCGTGGCGATCTTGGAGAGCTTCCGCACCGAGGGGCTGTGCGCGTAGGGGATCACCGCCCGCAGCTCGTCCAGCGCGTCGTTCAGGTCGTGCATCCGCCGCCGCTCGCGGGCGTTGATGTTGAGCCGCAGCGCCTTCTGCTCCTTCGACTTCTTGCTCCCGCCCAGGCCGTGGCTGTTGGAGCAGCCGCCCTCGGCCGCCTTCAGGCCCCCCCCGGCGCCCCCCGCCCCGGGCGAGGCGGCCCGCGGGTCTCCCCCGCGCAGCACCAGCTCGCAGCGCCCGTCGCTGTCGTCGTCGGGGCTCTGCTCGCCGCCGCTGCTCTCCGCCACCGAGCTGCGGCTGGTGCTCTCGCCGTACTTGCCGCACACCGAGCCGGCCGGCAGCGAGAGGGGGTCGCCGGCCCCCAGCGCCGCCCCGGGCTGCAGCAGCCCCTCCGCCTCGCCGGGCTCGAAGCAGCTGAGGGGCGAGGGCTGGCGCTCGCGCGGGTGGCTCAGGTCGAGCCCCGGGGGCGCGCGGAAGGCGGCCTCCATCCTGGTGGCCGAGGCGCCGAGAGTCTTGTGGAACAAGTCCTCCTCCGCGGCCAGGCTCAGCGCCCGCTCCATGCTGCCCGCCCTGCGCCGGCTCCTCCGCGCCGCCTTCTCCGCTGGCCGCGAGCTCTCACCAGGGGATGCGCTCGGGCATTGTGAGCTGCGAGCAGCCCCCTCGTCCGCCGTTTATCTTGCTTGGCTTCACCTTCAAGAGATTTCCGGCCCCAGCAGCCGGGGGAGTCTTTTACATCATTAGCTCGGCGAGTAGGTTATTATGAGGAAGACTCGCCTGTTGGGACAGAGCTCTCTACCCAATCAGGTTAACGCTTTAATTAATAGGATTAAAGCGGTGACAAACAAGCCCAGGCGCTAGCTGGCCCTGAGTCTGAAGAGTTTCATTTCCCAGGTCTGAAGACAGGCAGCAGCTAGAGCTTTATAAAAGGCGCCCGCTCCATTATTCTCCCCGCCATCTGTAGACACAGCTTCGCGCATATGTTTGCAAGACGTTGTGTCCTGTTAGGGACCCAACGACTGCCTTTAGCTTGGCATGTGTGGCGCCTTCCACTCGCCAGTGAGCACACGAACCGCCCTGCTTAGAGCCCGGGCTGTTCTTCGCCTCCTTCAGCAAATGACAGAGCGGCACTGCCGAGGGGCCCACTGGAGCGCCTTCCTCCGAGCGCGGCCAGCCGACTTCTGCCGACTTGACCAAGAGAGAGTCACGCCACCCCTGTTTACACGAAAGGGATGGCGTGGAATAGCAAACGCCAGGCTGCTCCCTGCTGACTCGCCAGAAAGGTTCACCTGGGCTTCGGACACGACGGTCCTTTTTCTCCCTTTCAAAACAAATTGAGGACAAACTGCGAGGCGCTGCTTTTGTCCCCTCCCCCAGCCAAACTGTACAGGTTTCCACTCGCAGGTTTGCTACGTAGTGGTAATTACCCCCCGGGCGTCAATAAAAATGAAAGCATCAGCTTTACAATACAACTAAGCTGAGGGCAAATAATAGGAATTAAGGACCAACTTTCCTAGCGATCAGTTCTTCAAAGGTTCCTTCCTTGCAATAAGGATACTTTACAAGGACGGTCCTGCCTAACTCAGAAATGGGTGGGAGTTTGCGCCTCTGAATGTATCAGATCAACTTGAGATCATGTACTTCATTAATGTCAGCCCTCACGTATTTATATTTCCTGGGCTTCAGCTACAACTCCTCACCTTAAGGCCCACTTTCCTTACAGTCAGGTTCTCACACTAAAGTGTGAACACAAGTATTTGTCTAAAATGTGTCCTGCGGATCCTCTAATAATAGAGACAGGCAGCCTTTTCTCCTTTTATTGTAATCGCACTGAGAGCACATGGTATTTAGTGGCGGGTTTTCATTCTTATGACATCAGTAAAAACAATATTTCCCAACACCTCCAGTGCATCATTCGTATGTGGCAGAATTACTGAAGGCTATGAAATTTCTGGTTTCTCTGGTTTCATTAAAAACCTTTTAATTGTGTCTTTCCGAGATGGCCCCAGGTGTTGGACTCTTTTCATTACATTTTGCTCTAATGTGATGAAATTCTAATTCTCTCCTTACCATATGGTTAAATTTGCCCACTGAGAATTAGTTGAAAAAGGAGAAATAATCTATTAATCTCTGTAATAGATTCACAAATGAGGTTCGCCACAGAACCTGGTTTTGAATGGTAATATCAGAACAGTTGGGTGCCTTGTTTCAGGAAAGAAAGGACCAGGCTACAACAACAGAGACGTAAAGAATTCACCTGTAAAGACTAAAAAGAAGCCAAGCTGCAGATTTTCAAAGTAATTGACTGAGATTTCATCTAGCAAGGACATGGCTACAATACAGCCTTCAGTCACCTTGTGTCTTTATATTTAAAATGAACAAACAAACCCAGTCCCCCACCCCATTCAGCCTCCTCCTCCCCCCAGCTCCCAGTCGAGCATCTAGCTTGTGCAAACGTCCCTGGTTGAAACCAAAAGTGCACATTCAAATCTACAGTTTCTTTCTTATAGATAACTTCTGTTAACCTCTATCATTATTAATCCAAAATGACCCATTATTTCCCAGATCTGAGGAAGAGCTCAGTGTAAACTCGAAAGCTTCTCTCCCTCACCAACAGAAGTTGTTCCATTAAAAGATATTACATCATCCACCTTGTCTCTCTGTTAATTCAGAGGCATTTTAGGTTTATTGTTTTCAAGTTAGCAACTTCATTTTCACTGGGATCATAAACAAAGAGCTTGATAATTACAATAGGTTTTTATCTGTTTAATATCAACTTGAAAAACTCATTTGATCACTTAAGGATGACGAATACTATTATTATAATTTGATGGTTTAAGGAGAACATTTTACTGCTCCCAGTTTGTTTCGTCGGAGAGAGGCTTTCTGCGAAATCTCTCTGGTTGATATATGGCTTCATTAATCCTGCCTTTCTCTTTTGCTTGAAACTTTTCGGGTGGTGTATTCATCTGCTCTGCAAGCAGTTTGGGAGCTGAAAGACTGCATGGCTCTGATGTTGCTACAGTGCTAAAAACATTTCATCATCATTAGAGTCCTGAGCACAAAACTAGGGCATGGTTATCGGACTGATTAATGCTTTGTCACGCTTTGGACAGGTGCAACTAGCATAAGGTCACGTTATAAACAATGATATTTCATAAACCTAGTTTTGTAATTTCCGAGTGGGCCATAGCTGTCGTCCATTTTCTGCCATCATCCGGGGTGTCAGTGTTTACCTGACTAAACACAATATCTATCTATCTATCTATCTATCTATCTATCTATCTATCTATCTATCTATCTATCTATCTATCTATCTATCTATCTATCTATCTTCCTTTGTTTTCTTTTCTTTCTCTGTCTGCCTGCTTGCATCTCTCTCTCTGATATGTATCAACCACCTTTCTGTTCATTCACTCCTGATCTGCCAAACTTAAGTGTTCAAACGGTCTATCAAGCTTCAACTTATATTTACTACCATCCCCCCAATCCTCCCCAAAAGCCCCCCACCTTCTTCCAGTCTCATTTGGTGTGAACCATCCTGGATCAAACTCCTCTGGGCTCCCTGAAGAAGGTGGCTGTTTAATAGTCACCAATAACTTTGGTTTGGAAGCAGGCAGAAGAATTTATAGAAGCTTTAAATGCGGGGCTTATAAAAAATATCCGAGGAATGGTCTTTGAGGTTTATGCACTCGTAAACTTTTGCTGATTGCTTCTGGGAAGTTGTCAGGCATTTAACACTGCATTTATCTTACGGTGCAACGAAAATACATCTGCTCAGTGTCTCGTTACCTGGTTTAATTGTGACACAGCCCTATGTCACTGACTAGACTTTCAGCTCTTTCATTATGTCGGTAGCAAGCAGCCGGGAGCTGAGGTGAAGAAGGGAAGGCGACGAAACGCCCTAACAAATCAAACAACTTCGCCGTTATGCCCAAGAAGCATAAACTGCGGGTGAACTTTCCTAGGCTGCGGGGCGGTGCTTCAATTTGCAAGCTTGGTGAGCAGGGAAGTTTGAGAGAATTATGCCCATTTCAGAAAAGCAGGATCGTGCTTTCGACGAGTTGATTTCTCTGAAGTTTGGCTGTGAGCACAGCGTCCCTGCAAGGCAGCTTGCCCCAAATATTAAGCTGTACCCTTTAATGAACCATCTACCAGCGCGAAAATAAAAAATACTTCAAATGATAATGGCCTCCAAGATTACACATTAGAGTCAACACAATTTATTACTGAAAACGTGAACACAGATTTTTTTGTTTTTTAGGTGCACTGGAGTATGAAACTAGCTAGATCTACACCTAATGATCAATTTCTAAAGCCCTGGGTCCTAAATTTCAAGCGTGGGTGGGGGGATTAGAAAACCCTTCCAGTAAACAGGTCGCCGAGTAGCGCATAAAGTTGTGTATTCCGTTTGCTATAAAACTCTCAAGAAAGGCAGAATCTCCCATTTATGTCTAGATATACCCAGAAGTTTAATGATAGCGAGGCATAGTTTATAAAAATTAAGACAGTTTCATTGCAGCCGGGGGGAATACTGTAACTCCCTAGAGCTTTGAAATGCTTTGGAAATAGTCAGCATTTCACTGATACCAGAAGAATAACTCTCTGATCAACTAATATTAACATGAGATTCGAGTTTACTCCTCTCTGACCGTACTAAAGACTTCATCAGTGTGTCCCCACATGTGGCTACATGCATTTGACACCGAACCTAAATGACAGCAAAGCCAAATATCAAGTTTAAATATTTTGCTATAACCCCCCTATGTACAGTATTTCTTTATTTCCCCTCCCCCCCCCCACTGTTTCTTCCATTCTCGAGATGCTTGTAGATTCGTCGGAGCAATATCTTGCTAAACATTTTATTGACTCCTAGACAACCATCAGTCCAGTTCGGAATAAAAGAACTATTTTCACAACGTTACCAGGTTGCATCAGCTTCTCCTACAAATTCGCCTAGAAGTGAGTGTGTGTGTGTGTGTCTCAAAATTACACTGCTGTACCTGAACGTGTGGCCCTTGACAAATCCTGGTGTGTCTCAACAACTGGGGAAAGATCGTTTTTTTAAAAAGAGCGCAGAGAATAAACAATCCTTACAAAATCACACCCTGGGAAATGTCCCCACGTGCTAGGTAGCTTACACTGAAATACATTGGACAATAATTGGGCCCTGCAATCCCCCAAAAGAATTTCATGTGCTTTATGGGACATGCTTATGGCTTTAATTGCTTACAAACGCCCCAAAACCCAGAGAGTAATTATTTTAAGTTAAGAAAAAGAATAGACTTGGAGTTTTGTTGCTCGGGAAAAAGTTCTATTCTGTGATTCAAATCTACCGCTAATGCTTACCTCGATTTCCCCCACCCAGAACTAAGCAAATAACTCCTTTCGATGAAGTGAGCTGTAGCTCAGGAAAGCTCATGCTCAAATAAATTGGTTAGTCTCTAAGGTGCCACAAGTCCTCCTTTTCTTTTTGTAATTAAAACGATACAACTAGCTGTTCATTTAGCAGTTTCAAAGAGCAACAGGAGGGTTAAAAAAAGCCCGATAGGATTCCCAGTCAGGATGAGAATCCCTTTTGAAAGTCAGGAATCATGCCGCACCAGCTAAGACTTTGAAAAGTGTTTTTAAAGCACCTTAGGTATTCGAAGCTTACGCGCCTGTTGTTGAGAAAGAGGGCAAAAGGATCAAAAGGGACTTCTTAAAGAGCTGATAACGCGTATGTATTTCTGTGGAGCATCCCCTACAGTAAATCCCTACAGGATAACAACAAGGAGTCCGGTGGCACCTTAAAGACTAACAGATTTATCTGGGCATAACCTTTGGTGGGTAAAAAACCCACTTCTTCAAATGCATTCCCTACAGGATGGGATTTGTGGTCGGGTACAGCTACCCATTCATTACTACTGTAACTTTTGGAGCAGGTTTGCTGTTAGTTATACTGCAAATGAGAATCCAAAGGGACATTTCTCCCTACAATTAGTTTTTCAGGCGAAGACGGTCAGAAAACCGCGCTGAGTAAGAAACTGTGGATGTAATTTAGCGATCAATTCCATTGTGATCAATAAAAGCAAAGAACATTTTTTTAGTGTGCTTGACACTTAACCTTTACAATAGAAATACCTAACCTCCTTTACTTGTGCACTAACAGTTATCCAGACGGGAGGGCTGGGAATCAACTTCCCTACATTTTGGACAGAAAGAAAACCTGTGGGATCAAGTGAAAACACTAGTGTAATGTGATGGCATTGTTTTTAAAATACTTAATACTTCATTATCGCAGATTAGATGTAGGGAGGAAATATTCTGTGTCCTTTGTTCGCTGAATAGCAATTTCATGTATAGCGGTTGGTCTGGTTTGACTCACACCGCAGTCCATTCCCCTCATAAAGTTATGGGATGCTACAGTTTTTCTTTCATTGCTGTTTAAATTTTAAAAGAAACTCTGACGAAGAACGACACAGTCTACTAAGGTGTTTGACTCGGCGATTTAAAATCCACAGCACCATCTCCTGGCAAATGGGAGAATAGTTTAATAGTAATT